CGCCAGCTAGGAGATTCCCCCGATCCAGATTTCGCGCCCCTAGCGCCCCACCCAGCAGTAGTAGTATCACCTCGAGGTCTCCGTCATCTTGGGATTGCGAGGCGAATGTGGAACTGGAGTAGAGGACACCATCTTCAGATGCATAGGGCACATCGAGCCCCACGTTCGTCGCCACCTTGATGCCCGAGCAGCCAAGGAGGGCACCCCCAGCATTTGCACCGACCACCGACCGATGGAAGGAAGGCGCTCACCGACTAAGGCCCCTGCCTCAAATCCGCGTCCATCATGCGCAGCCTCCCCCCTCCGCACACGCATGCGAAGAGGGGAGGTGACCCTAGGCGGCGTGGGCGAGCCACCGCACCTGCCAGATCTGCCAACGCTCCGCCCCGTAGCCACCTCGTGCCACGCCGGTCGGGCCTCCACCAGATCTCATCGTCCCCACGCCGCCAGACTGGGCGAATGGGAGAGAAGGACCTGGCACTGCGTATGAAGCTTAACATGGTATCAGAGCTAATGTCTGAAGTTCAACTCCTAACTTTCACAATTTTTCTAAAAATTGTTGCTCCCCCTTTGTGTCCACATATAGGCCTCTTGACTCATACGTCCGAGTCTATTCATGTGTTGACTTTCCGCATCACACATGAAAGAGGGTGTTGAAGTGTATATGTGGCCCTTTCCATCAGTTCGGACTTTTAGTTGCGTTGGCTAGTGCGTGAAGCTTAACATGTTCAAACTGTTATATACTAATCTTCGATATGCAAACCTATGTGCATCTGAACCTGCTGGATTCTGGTTTCTCAATCTGTTGAGATGCGAGAACAAAGTAAACTTCCACTCATTGCATGCATGTGTGCAACTACATCTATATGAATCAACGTCGCTTTTACTCTTTTGTTTTATTTCAACAATAAAATAACTGCTCTTTAAGAGATCATAAATCTATTGACATCCTATCTATACTAATATCATGAAAAAATTGTTTGTCTAATCATTAATTGTGCAAATATCAACTGTTTAGCTAGAGCTCGAAATTGGCACGATGTCAAACCATAAGCATGTGATGTGCCATCAAATTTCAATTTAAAATAGACTAGCATGCATCCAGTCGCCAATGTCAATGATAAAATGGGCCAAGCATCGTTTGTCCTATAGGGTACCGATTCCCTTGAGATGCAAACCCATGTGCATTTCTCAAAAGTATGTGGCTTTAATTTTACAACTTGCGTTCTTGTTTTTAAGTCAACTGAGATGAGAGACTAGACGTACACTTCTACTAATTGCATGCCGGTGCAATGATCCCTATAGAAGTCGATATCACTTTTAATATTTTGTTTTATTTCAATCATAATAACTTCTCCTTAAGTGATCTAAAATGTAGTAAGGCCCTGTTTGGTTCATAAGTTCTAGGACTTTTTTAAGTCCCAACTAAAAAGTCGTTAGTCCCTAAAAAGTCCCTACCTGTTTGGTTTCTGGGATTAAACATGGACTAAAAGACCATGTTACAACTAAAAGCCCCCAAAAGACTCTCCCTCAGGGTCTTCTTTCATAGGTCCCAAATGCCCACTTTAAGTCCCTATAAGTCCCTCCTGTTTGATTTAGATGAGACTAAAAGAGATTTTTTTAAGTCCCTACACCAATAAGTCCCTATAAACAAACACCCCCTAACATCAACACTGGCGACTCAATGCATGCTAGTATGTTTCTATATTGGAATTAAGTGGCATATCACATGCTCACTACTAGAATCTGTTTTGTCCCAAGTTCCAAGACTTCGCCAAGTTCATTATACCGGGAACTCGGCGAACTTCTCTTTGCCGAGTTTGATCCAAAATCCGACTCGGCAGTGATAATAAACTTGCCAGAGCAGTGCCTTTACCAGGTTCTGACGAAAAATGACTCGGCGAACAAAAAAAAAGCTCGGCAGAATCACATGTTCATCGAGTTCCCGATAGTAGAAACTCAGAAAACACTGACATGTGGGGCATGCTTTGCAGCAGTTGACGGAGCCGTGACGGTGGCCTTTGTTGCCGAGTTTCGCCGGTCGGAAACTCAGTAAATATTTTCAGTTTTTCATATTTTTAAATAAGAAACCAGTTCTCAATCTAGGTGGAACTCCCATAAGCATGTGGCATGCCATTCAATTTCAAGTTAGAAACGGACTAGTATGCATCAACTCACCGGTGTGGATGTTAAAAAAAAGTTCAAGTCGTTTGATCTTACACGTCACGTGATTCCCTTGAGATGCAAACCCTTGTGCATTTCTCAAAAGTGCGTTGGCATTACTTTCTCAGCTTGCATTCTTGTTTCTCAATATATTGAGATGCGAGACCAGACTGAACTTTCACTCCCAGTACACATGTGTGGGGTGCAATGATCTCTATAGAAGTAAATGTCACTTTTAATCTTTTGCTTTCCTCCAATCCTAATGATCTGCTGCTTAACAGATTATAAATCAAAACAAAATCCTCAAGGCTTGAAGGCCCCAGAACACTGACCAACCACTCATCCAAGATCTCAAGTCCTAGCTCCACAAAGAGAGAGAGAGAGAGAGAGAGAGAGAGAGAGAGAGAGAGAGAGAGAGAGAGAGGAAAAAAAGATTGAAGCCATCATGCACAACCGCAAACTGGGATTGTGTCTATTGAAACTAGTATATATCTTCGAGATTGAAACGTATGTGCATTTCACAAATCACAATAAAAGTATGTTGGAATTAATTTCACAACCTCTATCTTGTTTCTCAATATGTTGATATGAGAGACCATACTAGACTTCACCAGTTGTACGCTTGGGTGTAATGATCCCTATAGAAGTGAATTCCTTTTAGCCTTTTTTATTTTTTATTTCAACCATGAAATAACTGCTCCTTATGAGATGGTAAATCTAGTGGCAACCTATCTATCATAGTATCCTAAAATTATTATCGATCTAACCATCAAGTGTGCTAATGTCACTCTTTTATTTGGAGCTGCACAATAATCTTGGCCCAATGTCAAACCATAAACATGTGATTTTCCATTTGATTTCAGTTTTGAAACATACTAGCATGCACCGAGTAACCGTGCCAATGAAAAATTGGGTCAATAAATCAATCATATGATCTTACACGGCACTTACATTCCCTTAAGATGCAAAATTTTGTTCATCTCACGAAAATATGTTGGCATTAATTTCTCAACTTGCAATTTTGTCTCAATATGTTATGATGTGAGGCAAGAATAGTCTTCCACTAATACATGAGTGGGTGCAACGATCTCTATATAAGTCAACATTCATTTCAGTCTTGCTTTCCTCCAATCATATTTAACTCCTCCTTGAGAGATGGTAAATCTAATGATACCCGTATAGCCTCTGTCATCATGAAAAATTTATCTATCTAATCACCAGCTGTGTTGATATCACCAGGTTAGGTGGAGCTGCCAAATAAATCTTGGCAAAATGTCAAACCATAAGCATGTAATTTGCAATTTAATTTCAATTCCGAGACAGAATAGCATGCAGCAAGGTACCAGTGTCAATGAAAAACTGGGTCAAGCATCGCCTTATCTTATATATGTCACTTGATTCCCTTGAGATGCAAACCCATGTGCATTTGTCAAAGTATGATGGCATTAATTTCTCCACTGGCCTTTTTTTAATATCTCGTGATGCGGGACCAGACTAGACTTCCACGAATTGCATGTGTGGGTGCAAATGATCTCTATATAAGTGAACATCTTTTTTAGTCTTTTTTTCCTCAAATCAAAACTAAGAAATCACAACTCTAATGTCACTTAAATATGTTGTGTCACCATGAAAATGTTATATATGTAATCATCACTTTTGTTGTTGTCACCAGGTTTGTTGGAGCTGCCAAATAATCTTGGCACAATGACAACCATAAGCATGTGATCTGCCATTTAATTTCAGTTTGGAGATAGACTAGCTTTCATCTAGTCACCGGTGTCTCAATGAAACAAATGGGTAAAGCATCGTGTCAGACATGTAGGTCACCTAATTACCATGAGATGCAAACCCATTTGCATTTCGCAGAAGTATGTTGGCATTAGTTTCTCAACTCGGATTCCTGTTTCTTGATATATCAAAATGAAAGACACTTTTTTTGCAGGCGGAAAATGAGAGACCCTAATTATATGTGTAGGTGCAGCTATCTCTATAGAAGTCAACATCACTTTTAGCCCTTTTTCATCAAATTATAATTAACTTCTCCTTGAGATAAAATAAATACAATGACACATATATTGGCTCTGTCATCATAAAAAATATCTACCTAATCACCAATTGTGTTGCTGTCACCAAACTAGGTGGCGCTCCCAAATAATCTTGGCATAATGTGAAACAGTAAGCATGTGATCTGACATCTAATTTCAATTTTGAAACATACTAGCATGCAGCAAGTCACCAATGTCAATGGAAAAAATGGGCCAAGCAATCTTATAGGTCACTTGGTTCTCTTGAGATGCAAACCAATGTGAATTTCTTAAAGAAATTATTAGCATTAGTTTCTGGACATGCATTCTTATTTCTCAATATATCGAGATACAAACAAGACTAGATTTCCACTATTTCATGCGTGGGTGCAATGATCTCTATACAATTCAAATCGCTCTTGGTCCTTTGGTTTCCTCCAATCATAATTAGTTGCTCCTTAGAGCATCTCCAACAATAGGACAAAACCACAGCTGAAGAAAACACTCTCTAAAAAGAGAAAAAAATAATGCATTGTGTGTAAAATTTTCCAAAATGTCAAAAATACCGTAATAATCTCATAAAAAGGAAAACTAGCACAGGGTACAATGTTCTGTGAAATTTTTACTTAAAACACAATTGGGCATGCCACTTTATGAATCTCACAGATTTTGAGGAAAGAATTACATATACTCAAATATGACAGAACATACATACAAGAACCAAACAGTAGAATTAATAGAACCATTTCCTTGCTAAAGAACTTTCCTGCTTCTTTTCATCCCATTGGCATGATGACAACACGACGCCCGGGATCACTGATCATCTCCAAGGAACTCCGAAACAGCTTTCCACGACTCGGGAAAGAAGCTCTTGCGGGTGGTGATGTAGGCTCGGCCGTCGTGTACGTCGCCGAAAGAACCAGTGATGATGCTACTGGCTAAGTCCACCCCACCCCCCTCCTTGTCGTCGATCGTGCACTCGAACGCCTCCCAGTAGAGCATGTCGGACCCGAGCATGGTCTCTGACCGGAGCACCATGGACGACCTCACGCGCGGGTAGGCCGTCTTGTCCCGGAGGAGCGCGGCGGCGTACGGCGGCATGCAGACGCCACCGTCTCGTACCTCCTTCACCTCGAATCTGGCAGCCCTCATGGTCGCCGTGTCGTCGTGCGCCAGCACGAGCGCCAGAGCCAGGGACGACCGGACGTCGCCCGTGACGGCGGCGACCGTTGGAAACGGCATGTTGAAGAGCTCGTGCACAACCCTGGCCATGCGGCGTGCCAGCTCGTCGGCCACCGGCGCGGAAGCCTTGTTGTAGTCCTCGCCGTCGCAGAACAGCTCGGCCGTGCTGGTGGTGATGAGGCCTCTGCTCGTCGATCTCACCCGGTTAGTCCGGATATCCTTGAGTTCTGCCTCGAGGTCCGTTAGGGACTGGACGGTGAGGTAGTTGTGTCCATCATCGCTGCCACCGAGTGTGAGGATGAAGATGCCATCCTTCATGGTGCTCTTGCAGAAGCCCATTATGCTGGTTGGAGGGAGGCTGGAGAATCGGAAAGACTACTGGTCTGGTTACTCTAGTATAGTGCTCAAAGCTTATGTGCTTATTTAAACCCTCGTTCTGGCTTCATCCATGTTTCTCAGCGTGTTTGGCTGGAAGAGAATGGGAGTTTACAGGGTGAAAGATTAGTAAGCCATCAGGCATGGAAAGTTAATTTTTAGTCACAGTCTTGTTAAGTCTCAGTCGACTAAGACTTAACGAAGTCTCAGTCTATGGGATATCCGTGAGATCTTACATTAAGATTCATACAAAATTTTCTTTTTAGTTTTTCTTTTTCTCTTTTGCATGTTATGTCACTTGACTGAGACTTGATTAACTCTCAGTCGACTAAGACCTAGCCACACCCTTTTAGTCACAAACCCATGTTTAGTATGCTGTGGAAATTAGTAGGGGGGATTGGAGAGAAAATAACATCCCATGTAAATTAACAAGGAAGGGCAGGGAACATACATGAGAATTGTCCTTCTTAATTCCTTTTCCTCTTTCTCCCGGCATTCGACCTGTTTTTATATAAAGCAACAACCGAAGAAAGTCCATATTCGAACGATACAAGGTGTTGAGGTAGCCCTCATACAACATCAACCCCGTGATAACCGGATCATGTAAGACACACGCGACACGCTACCAAAATAGAGCACATGAATAATTGAGTACAAAGCCATGCTACTTCCTATAACACCTGTGCTGCACCACAACACCCCTAGGAGGGAGAGCGGCGCTAAGCGACGCAGATGCCGAGTCCACAACAGATAAAGTTTTTCAAGCGAAACCCAGACACGAAGAGGAGCACCATGACGACGTCTTCAAGAAGAGAGCGGTGTATGCGAGCATCGTCGGCGTTGGTGATATGCGCAAAGCTTTTTGCTCCACAACTCCCCCGTGCCATCACGAGGTGTCCAGGACAAGTGCGATGAGTTTAGTTCTCCAGATCCGAACCAGGGCGTTGCTAGAGAGTGCGCCCAAGCCACCCGACACTACACCTCTTGCCACCCATACATAACTAAGAGGGAAAGCCACCATCACCGCCATGGTGCCAGATGAAGGGCCAACCATGCAGACCGCCATCCGGGGTCGCCTCCCCGGCATCCATGTCCGAGAGACAACCAACCGCCCACATCACAGTGCACCCACCACGGTAGGAGGAGTACACTAGTAGAAAACAGAGGTTTGATCCAGGCAGGGAAAGCCCATTAATCCCGGTTCACCCATGAACCGGGACCAATGAGGGCATAGGTCCCGATTCATGAGGCCAGGGCGCGGGCCGGGCCTCGGGGGCCATTGGTCCCGGTTCATCTGAGACCATTGGTCCCGGTTCCAGACACAAACCGGGACCAATGGACCTTGCTCCTGGCCCACCACCTTTAGTCCCGGTTGGTGTCCGGAACCGGGAGCAAAGGTGTTTTTTTAAACAAACAAAACTATAATATTCTAAAATAGCATAAAGAATCAACTGAAAAGCTTTAATAAAACTCTAATAGGAAAAGGAATCAACTAAAAAGAATCAATAAAAAATAAAATTTATGCAACTCAAATTAGATAAAATGTATGCAACTAAAAAGAATCATTTGTAGTATTATTGAAACTAAAATTATACAAAACTATTTTTATAGTAAAGTTAATCACAAACTAGTGATTCACACAAATTTCAAAGAATTCAAATTTGAAAAACTAATGGCACTAACAGAAAGTTTATAATTTTTCCGACCTAAAAGCAAAAAGAATTAAAAAATAAAGCAAAAAACAAAAGAAAATAAATAATGAAAAAAAACAAAAATACTGAAAAAAATTAAAAAAGATGCCGCCTATTGGGCCACCACGGCCTGAATGCGACTAGAAACCCAACCAGCCTGTTGGGATAGGATTCAGGCTTGCCGAAGGCCCAGCAGGCCCACAGGCAGATACAGAGTGGTTAGGCCCGTAAGCCTGCTTTGGAGAGGAGCTCGAAGGCTCAGGCGCACCGCGCCTTATAAACAGGTGCATCACTCTCTCAACTAGCGAGGTGGGACTAACTTCCACCACGTCGCTGTGCAAGGCCATTGGTCCCGGTTGGTGCCATGAACCGGGACCAATGCCCCTCTTTGGTCCCAGTTGGTGGTACCAACCGGGACCAATGCGTCCTTTTAGTCCCGGTTGGTGCCACCAACCGGGACCAAAGGTCTCTGTTTCCCGTCCTTTGGGCTACTGAAAAGAGGCCTTTGGTCCCGGTTGATGTTACGAACCGGGACCAAAGGGGTACATTCATCCTGGTTCGTGCCAAGAACTGGGACTAAAGCTTCATGTATATAAGGAACACTTGTGAAAATTTTGGTTTTCATCTTGCAGTTTTCCCCTGACGACGCGCGCGCCTCCTCGACAACGCCAGGCTGCCGGACGCCGTCGCCCCTGTCCCCCGCCCCGGAGCCCACGCCGACAGCGTCGCCGCCGCCCGCGCCGTCGCTGTCCGCCGCCCACTCCATCACCGTCGCTCGTGCCCCTGCCCGGGCGCGCCCCCGCACACTGTCGCCGTCGCCCGCCCCCGCTGACGCCCTCGCCGCCCCCGCCGACGTCCTAGCCACCCCCGCCGTCGCCCTCGCTGTCCGGCCTCGCTGTGAGCCGCCGCTGCCCTGGCTCTTTTTTTTCATTTTTTTCATATATATATATATATATGTGTGTGTATTCTTCCATGTATATATACTAGTAATTTGTATAGATTATTATGTATAGTCACAGATTAGGTTAGTGCATTAGATGTTATAGGTTAGTGTGCATTTTAGATTAGTTGAATTAGATGTTTTTAAGTAAGAGTTTAATAGAGTTAGTTAGAAAAATAATAGAACTAGTTAAACTAGTTTATTTTTAGTAAGTACTCCCTCCGTCCGAAAATATTTGTCATCAAAATGCATAAAAAGGGATGTATCTAGAACTAAAATACGTCTACATACATCTCCTTTCATCCATTTTGATGAAAAGTATTTTCGGACGGAGGGAGTAGTACTTTATTTTATTTATAGTAAGTGCTTAGTTGAACTAGTTAATTTAATAAAACTACTTTATTTTACTATAGAAGTAGTTTATTTTTAGTAAGAAAATTAATAGAACTAGTTTATTTTTTAGTTAAGCAATTATTCCCGCATAGACGTCGACGATGCCTATCTCACATCCTCGTCGTCGACTCGGCAGAGGAGGCCTGCTTGATCAGAGGGGCCATGTCCGGAACTGGGCTCCGCCGGGCTGGTATTGGGAGGTGCTATATTCTGGGGGGCGTAGCTTGATGAGGAGCTAGCCCGTCGTTGACCCGAACAGGGTTTGGTGGCGGTCGCGTGGGCCAGTGACGGTGCCGAAGCTTTTGGACACCATGGAGGTGGTACGTCACCGTGTCAGCGTGGAGGACGAGCACGTATATCGTACATGGTTGCGTTGGAGGGCTGGTTCGACAATACCTGGCAGGTTCTTTAGGGGCCTCACTGCAGCTATGATCATCTGATGGTTCCTTCTCTTTGGGTGTCCATCGCCCGTGCCGATACCCGTCGGGCGCTACGGTTCTAGCTGTATTAGCGATGCTATATGTATGATACTATTCGAGGTGTATTAGTGATAATATTCGACGATGTACGGACGCAAGAGATGATGTAGTTTTGCTCATTGAATGCATGCTAATTTGAATACTAATTTATTTTACGATTTGGTTTTGCTTATTGAATGCTCAAATCGGAAAACTACTCCTACTTTGAATGCTAAAATTAAACACTCGATATGTCATTTTTTAGAAAGATAATTAAACGATAATTAAACGATAATTTAGTGGTGAGCCCAAAGTAACATATATCATGTAATGACGAAGTCTAACTCTCTTCCTATGCATCGGCATGTCATACAAGAACAATTCATGCATACAAAGTAAAGGCCAATGCATAGTATAAACAGTTTCTTGCGATTTTATCATGTTGGAAACATAGAGAGGTGGAGATATAGTTCCTCTCTCATAATAATTGCAAGTAGGAGCAGCAAGCACATGCATATTATATTCATCAAAATCATCATGTGTAATAGTAAAATGCAACCCATCAATATAATCCTTAATAAGGGCAAACTTCTCCGATATAGTGTAGTCGGGAGAATTCAAAAAGATAATAGGACTATCATGCGTGGGTGCAATAGCAACAATTTCATGTTTAACATAAGGAACTATATCAAGTTCATCTCCATAAGCATAATTCATATTGGCATCTTGGCCACAAGCATAGCAAGCATCATCAAAAAGGGATATTTCAAGAGAATGAACGGGACCATAACAATAATCATAGCATTCATCCTTCGGTAAGCACGAAGGGAAATTAAACATTGTATGGGATAAAGAGTTACTCTCATTAGAAGGTGGGCACGGGTGATCAATCCTCTCTTCCTCCTTTTGTTCTTCGGTCTCCTCCTCATCTTTTTCATCCAATGAGCTCACAATGTCATTAATTTCTTCTTCCATAGACTCCTGCAAAATATTAGTCTCTTCTTGGAGAGCGGAGACTCTCTCAATAAAATCATCAATATCGGATTGAATTCATAATTCTCATAGCAATATTTAAGGATAGCTAAATTTTCAGGTATATAAACCGAATCATCAAAATTTTCACACTCTTTAAACAAAGATTCAATTTCATAAGCACCCATAAAAGCAACAAGTTTTTCTATTTGTTCCACATCATAGTAATCATATATACCATTAGCATAAGAAGCCAAGGTTTTATCATCATTAAATTTGCATGAAAAGGGAAGGTGTGGAACCTTCATCCTAGAGCAACAAGTATAGTCATATCTCAAGCATAGTTCCCGAGCATACCAATGCAACATATGAATTTGATCCCATAATAGTTTTCCTTTTTGAGTCAAGCGATAATCCCTAAAGTATTCACGTTGATCCAACGTGTCTCCCATTACATAATTGAATGGGGTTTTCTCGGGATTATAAAAGTAGTACATAATATTTTTCACA